TCTGCCCACGATAAACAGACATGAGTTCGTTATTATGTCCACTAGTTGATTTAGAAGAAGATTAGCCATAAACACTAACATAGCATACTCTTATGCACGTGGTTTTGGACACGAGTTAAATGTATGTCCACCACCTTATTTATTTAGCAGAAGACTGGCTATATAATAAGTAAGCATAACATACTAACTATGCATGTGGTTATTATTATTTAAAAAAAAAAAAAAAAAAAACTAACAAAATCTTGGCACATGGATGATGGGAGCCAATTTTAATGTACCTATAATAGTGGACATGTGAGTGAGTATTTCCCTTTATAGATACGTGAGCATGATTAGTAAATTTTACTGACTAATCTTTGATGACTAATTTTACTGTGAACATATGAGTATTTTCATTTTAGAAATATGTGAGTGGAAGTACTAAATTTCATAAACAAGTCATGTAATGATTGATTTCTAAATTATTAAAAATGTATGTAGAGAAAAATAAGTGTGAACTGTGAAGTGAAAAATGAAAATTAACAACATGCAGATAAGAATAAGATTTTACACACTCCGATTCCGAAACAAATCATATCTCGATTTCAAAGTTTTTGCAGCTAAACACAAGAGCTGCTCAACGAACCAAAGAATGTAAAAATATGTACCAGCTTTATATACGGCGTAAATTTGAGCATCAAGAGTTGGTTTCTTCTTTAATGACTGCAGTTTCGAGATTTGCTCTTTTCGCGACTCGTCTCTTGTTCTGGATCTGGCGAACATGCTCTGCAACTATGACATGGAGCTTTGGAGTGAGCTTACTTGTTGAGGACACGTTGAGACCAGCCTTCTTGAGAGCACGCACCATATGCTTCTCGGCCTTTTGGAAGTGCATAGGGCAGTATGAAGGGATGGTCGATTTCATTAATGGCCTCCCGCAGAGTATAGGTCCTGTGGTGGAACTGGAGAATGCAATGGCAAAAGATGATATGGAAAAAAGGATATCAATTTTGGCCGAAAGAGTTTTTAGAAGTAGAGACGAATATCAAAAATAAAATAGGGCTTTACTGAGATTCCTTAAAGATATTGTGATTATTATAATAATGAAACTTGGTTCATTCAATCAATGAATTTGATCATCAGAAGCTGTGATAGTGTACATAAAAGGAAGAAACTGACAATTTTCAGAAAACAAAGGGAAAAGAAACTAGCGAGGAGGATTTTTTTTTTTTTTTTCATCCGATATAAATGACATTCAGTGAATTATAACTTCTCAATCATCATCTTTGCAAAACAACTGAATTTCTCTTTTTATAACTGTTTAAATGATTAAAGTAACAGCTTAAGAATATGCATGATGCGGAAAGAATAACCAACCATGAAAGCATTAGATGTAAATGCAACATCTACAAGCAATTGGAGAAGAAAGAACAGGCTTTTATGCCATGACCAACAGAATACATCATATACATCAATTCTATATAACTAATGGAAGCAGTAAGAGAGAGAGAGAGAGATAGAATGAGTGAGATCCAAGCGAAAAAACTTTAACTATCATTCTATATAAAGGGAAACTTCAATGGACCCAACTTAAATGATGACTATTGAAGGACAATTACAATAACTAATAAAGATTGAACTTCATTATATAGCAGAAAATAACAAAATTTATCACAACTGCGTCTTATGCACCATAAGTGCAGTTTAAATGCCTGGTACATCAAAAGAACTTTGCTGGCTGGCAGATTGTGCCAGACGACCTATAGAAAAATCGCGTACACTAACATGTTGTCACGAGGAAAAGGTGAAAACAGGACATGCGCTAGAATTTATTAAAATGTAGATGCAGATTAAATGTTAACATAATTCTCAAGTACTCAGACATTCCATTTTCAAATGTATACATGGATCTTCATATCATGATATTTATATATAGAACGACTCATAAATAATGTAGAAAACAAATAACAGACAGAATCACAAGTATGGGTGTTGAAGGTTGCTCAGGACACAGCTTACATAACCTCCCAAGTCTAATGGTCGCGATGTGTCGGTGGTACCTCTGAAACATGATGTTTCTGCTTCTAGAAACACCTTTTTTTTTTTTTAATATTTTTCCGTATTTAAATTTTTGACACCATTTCTTTAGATTATTAAGCTTTTCACGGATAGTGAATTTTCTTGTTAAGGTGTGTACCATTCTAGGCATGTCCCATTTCTTTTCTTTCTTCCTTTAGCTCCTAACTTCTGTCAGCCATGTGCCTTGCCTGGCACCTTGCACCTAAGGCAATAGAAGTGCTTATTGCCTTGGCGCGCCATTTGCCTTTAAATATGGTCACCAGGCCTACCATAAAATACCGCACAGGAAGAAAGTTTTAAAATCAAATAAATATGCAATCTCTTGAAACGTACTCTACAATCAAAATATATTGTTTCAACCCTGACCTGTCCCGTCAGCCTCAATCTAATCTGAGACAAAATGAGCAAATACCAGTCCATTTGGAAAGTTCATACCAATAAGAACGTAAGCAATCCAGGTAAAGGGCAAAAACCAGCAGAACCTCATTACAAATATCCACATCCTTAGTTTCCTTCTCTTATCAATTTGGCATTAGTCTGGGTGGTGGCAAAGACATCATCATCCAACAAATTGACGAAATTGAATAAGGGCATAAACAACAGACATATATATTCCAGAATTTCTGAATCACACTTACACATTCGTAAACAGGAAAGGTTATGCAACAGGGGAGAATTCTCTGAAAGTTGGCAAGAGGCATGACAAGGCTAACCATACTAGATTGCCTTCTAGTTTCTTCTCAACAATTCCAAAAAATGGCAGCAAATAGTAAGATGGTCATAGTAGCAAGTTACCCAATCAGGTATTCCTCTTGTGCAAAGTCCAAAGAATAAAATTGACCAAAGAGTGCTATAATGGTAATTAGATAGAGTTCGTCTGTGAAACTTAAAAAGTAGCATTCCAGACATACACACAGTAAAATATAAATAACCAAACATGAGAAGTTACGGTACTAAATAATTTTGAAAAGGGCTCCTTCCCACCGAAATAATGAAATCCGATCGAAAGTAAAAGCGACGAATAAGCTTGTCAGATTAAGAAACACATTTTTACTGTTTGTTTATTGTTTCTAACAATGCCAAAGGAGCATTTTCTCGTATCTTTATAATCCTTCAGATTTAGCAAATAAAGTCTGGTCCACAGCATATAGCAAACAAAATGGGTCGCACGATATCAACTGGTCAAGTAAATTGCACATGACGGCATATGTCATATAATATCATGGTAACTAAAAAAGTGATACACATCAGTTCGATTTAGAACCACAGGGTAGTAGCAAAACTTAATATTATTGAGAATATCGAGCAGCTATCATAAGAATCGGCTAAGAACCAAATTATCTCCTGCCTGTCCTGCAATATATCTATTATCTCCTAAAGCCAAACAGTAAAACATCTGAATCACCACTCAAAATAGTAGAAGATGAGAAACCAATTGGGTTTGTGTAGTAGAACAGACACTGCAGTTTGATTCAAAACAACAACACTTCATAAATAGGCACCAACATAGAAGCATGATAGGTCTACGTTCAATTCAATGTCAATAAGTTCAAAGAAAAACAAAGAAAACAAACCTCTTTATGGAGAAAGTGCAACTCTCGTAGAGCTTCTGCTTCGCATCAGACGTTATATGCATATGGCAAAACCTCGTCAAGGCCATCGCCTTGGCCTTGCACCCATGGACCTCACACCTACCGCTAACCCTACCACTAGCATTCCCACCATTCACCCCAAAGTTCCCACGGCTGCCATTTTCACCAGGCAAGGCAGCGTAATCCCCGCGGCTCGCGTTGTTTCTCACGTTCTCCTCATCCTCCACGAAGGGGCTTTTCCCGTACTCCCAGTAATACTCCCTGTACTTCAGCTTGAGCTCCTCCATTAACGCCCAGTAGTGGTCTCGGTAAACCCGAGCGAGCTGTTTCACCCTGCGGGCTCGGCGATTGAGGAATTCGGATCGGGTCAGGAACTCTGATTTTGATAGGGCTGCGTCATGTTCGGATCCGTCGATGCGGATCGGGCCAGAGGAGGACGAGACCGACGGGTCGAGCATCAGGCCTGCGTTCGATGGCGGCTTGGTTTCGGTTTTCAGATAGAGGGGGGCGGCAGAGTGGTGGTTAGGGCCACCGGCGGACGCGAGGTTTGCAGTGGGCATCGGAGAGGGTCGCTTCTTTTTAGAGCGTGTGCCAGTCAAATCAGCAGTGGCAATAACTTTTGTTAAGTATTTATACACTAATATAAAAATGATATTTTTAGTGAACACCCAAATATTAGTGTACAACACACAACCCATTGTCTGTCATCCTTTTTACAAAGATAAATAAATAAATTTTACAAATTACATTCTCACACTAAAGTATTCGAATCACACATTTTTTTTCCCTTTCATTTTGTTTTTACAGTGAGAAATTTATACATCAACCCCTGTTGGTATCCTA